GGTATGGTGGGCCCCTAATCCAATACACTAGTGGAAAGGGAAGCTCAGATTTATAGACATCTACAGGGAGGGTGTGTAAAGCCTTCAGTCTTGCTGCCACAAGTCCCTGAACTATCAGAAGCTGAGCAAGAAGCCTGGAAGGGATCCTTTCTAAGTGCCTTAAAGGACATTCAGCCATGCAAACTCCTTTCTATCATACTTCCAGACTCTGTAACTAAGAGGCAATACATTTCTGTTGCTGATCATAATGGAATTACATAGTATTAACCTCCTACTAGAGCCTGACACATCGTAAGCAGCAAATATTTGAGTAATTAAACAAACAAAAAAAAAATCCTGGATAACAGAAAGAGTAATGGTGTGTCATCATATCTGTGTATTCTACTTATAATATATACATAGTACGTATTATATAATACATATACCTATTATATAATGTGTATATATGTGTGCATATGTATATGTATATTCTATTGCACTCACTTTTGTTTCATACTGATTTTTTTTCCTGGGCCTACTACCTACCTAGTATTTTTTTTTAAATTGTGCTAGTCCCCAGTCTGTAAAAAAAATGCTGCCACTTTACCTTTTGTTTCCTCTAAGAAATTTTGTGTAGGAAAGCAAAGAAAATAAATTCCAAAAGAGGGAGTGGGGAGCCAGTGAAAAGGAATTCAGACTTGTAAAAATCAAAGTCCTGAAAGCATCTGCACTTTGAAAGATTGAAAGCTACAGTCCCAAGAGAGCACACTGCCACAATAAAATCTCCCTCCCGGAACACAGCGCTCCTGAGCACGGTGCACCTGCTGAAAGGTCCTGCAGACCCAGCACCGCTAGCTCCCAGCCACAGGGGCAGCCATGGTCCAAGTAAGATGGGCCAGGCACTTCAACCTCATGTGCTTGCCAAGTATGCTCAGAGAGAACTCATCTTGCAAAATGCAGATGGAGATTTGCAATCATTGCTGAGGCTAAATGCCAGTCGAGAGAAGATGCATCTCAATGTACTTTCCACACATTTTGGTGTGGTAGTTCTCAAGATAAACTCTGGCCACTGTTTGAAGATGCATGATCTTCTGTGTGGAAGTGGTGCATATGCAGCCATGCCAATCACTGTCCTCGGCTCTGCTGCAGGGAGTAGAGAAGGTGCAGTTAGCTGAGAAGAAAGCAGTCATCTACCTGTTTTGGAAAATGCAAAATGGTAATGGTGCACCTTGTGGCTTTATCAAGGGAGGTGTCAATTTAGAGGAGGGAGTCAAATTTTAAATTAAGGGGGGAAATGTGAGCGATCTGTGACAATCACCAATTCCATGACCTTGGGGAAGAAACTCACCTTTTTCCTGAATCTTCACCTGCAAAATCAAAGGATTAAAATCACAAGATCTATGAGGTGATTTAAGCTTACATTTAAGAAGTACTTACATTTAAGGGGGAAGGAGGGAGTTGTAAGGACTCTATAAAGTCTGCAGGAAAAGAAATCATGTCCCCTGCAATATTGTTGCACTCATACTTTAAGTGCCAAAAAGAATGACTGTGAATTCTGCAAACATTTTCTCTGATAGGACCATCATTCCATTCTACTGGATTCATCACTCGAGAATCTACAATAGCCCCACAGCCAGTGCTGTTCTACCTGGTTTTTCTTATTGGGTTATCAGTAAGGATTGCAGCATTTGCTTATGGCAAATACATTCTCCCATAAAGAATGCAGTTATTCGTTCCCCCACACCTCAATTGAGCAATTCTTGTGGCCAACCATTGTTTTAAGCATTGTTTATATAAAGTAATAAAGATGGGCTGGCTGTGGCTTTTAGGTTTGATAGCTCATGCCTGTAATCCCAGCTACTTACTCAGAGATCAGGATGGTAGTAGTTTAAGCCCAGGTGAAAAGCCCCACATACAACACAGAACAACACAAGCTAAGAGTGCTGGAATTTGTGATCTCAGGTAAGTCAGAAGCATAGGTAGGAAGAACCCACCCAAGGACAGTCTAGAGGAAAAGGCCTGAGGCTATCTGAAAAAGAACTATAGCAAGAGTGGACTAAGAGGTGTGGCTTGAAAGGACATTTGCTTTTTAAGTGTGAGTTCAAACCTAGTACTGCCAGGGAAAACAACAACAAGAACAAAAAACCCACAAAATAAGAAGGGCTGTCACAGCATGAACAGACAGGGAGTTCAATCTTGGCGATCAAAATTAGGATTCGACATTGAGGAGAGTTGAGACAGCCAGCAAATGATAGCTACTACTCAGATTAAAGAGCAAAACAGGAAGCAGGATTAGGCAGAGCAAGTAGTGTGTGCACCAGTCTAGAAGCAGCTGCTTTCATGTGGGTTCCTGGGCACAGAAAAAGTTGACTCTACACGTCCCATAGAGCACAGGGAGGGAGCACAGGACACGTTAAGAAATGTGTTAGTGTGCACACACGTGGAATAACTATACATGAAAAGCAGATGTTTAAATACTTGGACAAAGTTGGTTTTAGAAAGGTGGCTATTTTATTTTTCTTCTGGAGTTGGTATGAAATAACGAAGCTTCTGTTCACTAAGAACTTTGTGACACATCTGGGAACAGCCTAGCACTTCTACCTGGAACATAAATGTCACTGTCAAAACTCATAAAAACTCTCTAAAACAACTTTGCCAAGGTAAAACAAAGAGGTTAAACACGAACAGAAATCAAAAAGTAAGCAAAATGGACCACGAGTCCGTTATTTGTCCCCTACAATAAGGCTGATTCCACTTGAATTCAAGCTTTCTAATTTAGAATTCCACTTAGTAATAATGTCCTGTTCAAGTGTGCAGGTTTTTAAGCAGTGTGCCTTTTGAAGGGTTTTCTGAAATATTTGCCCTCTTCCTTACCCTTGTTAAAGCCAAATATTTTAATTATGGTGAAACATCTTAGTGTGTTTACAAGGCAAATTATTTTAAAGTTGCCCAAATTTCTATTCCCCTATTTTTATCCTCTCTCTCTCTCTCTGAATGTTTTAGGGAGTACCATTAGTTAGGAAATTGTATTCCCTAACATGGTAATGACAATAAAACAATTTACGAAATGTCATCTGTTAGTCTGATTTGTTTGCCTACTAAATGGCCCACGACTACCTACTCACAGCAAAGAAAGACATGGTAATAACTGCATACTAGACAAACAGCTATACCAAGACCAGGGGGATAAAATTACAATCACCACTGAGAAGAATGATGTGTGCCCAGAAGTAATATCTCGATGATAGCCACCTATGAAGTACTCTGAGCAAGAAAACCTCAAAGTTGATGCATTCCATTAGTCCTATCAAAAGGAAAGTGTGAACAGGAAGAGGAGGAAGATGCTGATCAAAAGCATAGAAGAGAAAAGCAGCCCGGGAAATGACCAACAACACACACAAACAAGCAAATGAGAAAGGAAAAATTTTAAATAGGTTAATCTGAACAAGTTAGGTCTCCTACTGCTTGTCAACATCACATTTTGCCTAGCAAATTTATTAAAAGGTAAGCTTCTGTCTTCAAATGAAGAATGACCTTTTGAAAGGTCAGTTTTTAGAAAGAACTCCTATGGTCCTTATTTCTTATCTTCCCGTGGTCCAGGAAAGGGTGAGATGTGTTTCTGAGGTGGGAGGGAGAGGCAGTCATTGGAAGAACTCAGGTCATGGAGACAAAAGAATTCCAAGACTAGCAAGGCCCAGCCAGGGAGCTAGGTAAGTCTGCTTAGCTTCCTCAATGGTAAAGCAGATGGCTGTATCACAGCACAGGAAAAGGTGGCCAACAAATGTGTGTCCTCTGAAGCTGCCTTCCTGTTCTCTGAAGATCTCAGGAAAGCCACCAACCAACTGAACCCTGCTAGAAGGATTCAGGAAAGTCACTGCAACGTTTTTGAGAAGGAGGCTCCTTTCTTCCAAAAGTATGTTTTATGAAAACACAGCCAGGAACAGGATAGCAGAATGAATAATAAGTAATTTGGGCATGCCTGATGATGGGCAAATTCTGTGCAGGAAGTAAAAAAAAATAAAATCACAGGAAAGTGACTGCTTGGTTTATGAGAAAAAACCCTGATACAAATAAAGCACTCAAAGTCGTTCCACCCTTTCCCAAGAATGAAGGTGGTTTATTCCCCTCCCCCCCAAAAAAAGCAAGTTCTATTCGTCCACTGGCTCTGTATCCTTGAAGGTAAAAGAATTCAGTAAAATGTTCATAAATTATGAGCTCCTAACCATCTATCTATGACATTTGTTTTCTTCCATGTATTTGTTTACATTTGACATGTTTACTTTCATGTTGTCGATAATTCTTTAAAGATCTCTTCTTAAAAGTGGAGGAAAAAGTTTTTATAGCAAAAAATATTTTCAAAATAATTTGAAAATTATAGCAAACTACATTTAGTTTAACACTTAAAATCTTTATAGAAGATATTCTACATTTTCCTTTAGTTTATAATAGTAAAATCACTTGCTGGGAGGACTTGATACAGAATTCCCTGAAACTTCTCTATGCTAAACCAAGTATCCAAAAGTGCATATCATATCAACACATGACAATTTCAAACCCATTACTGGGACAGCTTTTAATTACTATTCATTGTGACTAATTTTAAAAGAGAATGTGCACATTTTAATTGGGGTCTCTAGCATACCAGAAATAGGTGGTTTCAGAATAAAAGCTACAACATCACAAAGTTTAAAGAGCAGCACTGTAGCCTGAAGGCACTAAACTTCCATCTCCTTCCCACACATTCACAACGGACTGAAAATAAATAACATCTCATGAGTAACAATGGACAAAAATATATGCATTGATACATTTTGCCCAGAGTGATTAAGGAAAAATACAGGATTCTTTTTGCTTTATTATTTGATAAATTGCTCAGAAAGTTCCTATTAGAAGTTCTTCACACATTACACCAGGTTGTCTTGGTCTTAATCATATATACATTATATATATAATATATATAATATATACATATATATAGACACACACATACACACACGCTTCTTTGTTCAAGTAAAGAAATGTTTAACAGATGTAAACTATTTATTGAATATTTGCCACCAAATATTGTTAAATACATTATCTTGCAGCATATCGCTTTCAAGTTAAAATGTCAGAAACAAACACCAATATTTACAATTCTTTTAAGGAATGTTATATAATGACACATTAAGGCGTAAATTCTTTTGGCTTATAATTCTTCAAAGAATGATAATAGCAAAAGTGATGCAAAATCTTCAGTGTGAGATTATGATTAAGCTACATTTTACAAAAATATGGTGGAAGATGGCAATAATCCCATTCAACATCCTGGATTAGATCCCTTCAGGAGGGACTGATAATTTATACAGTCAAACTTTAAAATTTACAGATAAAGGCAGTTTAACACTGCCACCGAGAAGTACATCTCTTAACATATACAACTTTCAGGCCACAGTTTTGAAGGTCTGAAGTATCAAGTTGGTTTGATGAATTAGTCGGTTGGCACTTATGAAGACATTTATTGCCCTGTTTAAAAAGAGAATAGAACACGCATTACTTTCAATCCAAAAATTCTCTTTTAAAATATTTATACTCATGTCATCTGCCAATAACAGCAATGAAATAAATAAACAGTGAAAACCAGACAAGTTAGTATAAAGAATTACGAATTTAATTCCAGTTTGGGATTTAATGGCATTACTGTCTTTCAAACAGTATCTAGGTATTACTGCCCCCTGGTGGTTGTGGTTGGAAATTAGGTGCTGGAGGGTTGGCTAATGACCCTCAACCACCATACTTATTTATGGGTCAAACAAATAACTGAACAAAGAAGATGATTCAGATACAGTCTCCAGCTGTGGTTGCACTGAACTTAAAATGAAATCAGCTATGTGCTTCAAAGACTTTAACAAAATAAATACTCATATGTCCCCAAAAGAGGTCTGACATGTGGTCGTGGTGGTTTCACAGAAAACCTTCAAGTATTATTCTGTCTCAAGATCTGTACAAAAATAGCATGATCAATACTTAACTGTATCTTGTATATACAGTTTTCTAATTTGGGAAGGGAAAGGATAATAACAAAATGCTGAAACAAGGATACAGGTTGACCCATTGTAACAATGAGATGTACAAGACACTATGTTGAAAATGAACTTTACAACTTGCGGGGGAGTAGGGAGTTGAGGAGGTGGAGAGGAAAGGGATGGAAGGGGAAATACAATGGAAGGGGTAACAATGATTGATAGGAAATGTACTCATTACCTTACTCATGTAACTGTAACCCATCTGTACAGTATCTTTACAATAAAAAATATACAATATACAAAACACGTTTAAGAGGTCAGTCTGTGTTTCTCAGTGCTGTAGCTAAATCTGTCTTCAATCTTGACAATCCTTAGGACTGGGACTGGGACTAGGACTGGGAGTGATTTAGCTGAATCACTGTAAAATCATCATCTCCTTGACGTAAGATCAGGTTCCACTAATGTTTTCCACTTTCATTCAGTAAACAGGCAAAAAAATTCATAGCACATTATTTAAACCCAAGACACTGGGATATAAAGAAGCCACCAAACGAGAAAAACTAGCAGCAGGGAGCCTGAATAATTCATACATGTACACAGAGCAAACAATTTCAGATTATGGAGATTCTAAATTAATTTCTACCTTTCAATGTGCTTATTCCAATGATTTTAATTAGTTAAAATCAGAAGCAATGATACCATCATGTAAATTATACATTTAATGTGTGTGGTTATTCAGGCTGTGCCGGGTGATAAAGAGCACTCTCTCTCAGAACACCCCTGCTGGCTATTTCCCCCAGATGCCAGCAGCAGCACATGAAACAAGAGGAGCCTGTTAGCAGAATTCAGGATCTTTAATTCAGAATTTAAATTCAAATATATTAAACTGTTTGACTATTCAAGTTGTGAAAATTACCACTCTCAGGCGTTCTTTCATACTTTTTTATAATACCATCATAGTACTGGACTGGTGATGAATGTAATATTCTACTGGGGTGATGTAAAGAAATATCTTAAAATGGGAGGCAGAGGTAGAAGAATCACTGTCCAGGACAGCCCTGGGCGAAGGGAGAGACCCTGTCTGAGAAAGAGGCGGGGCATGGGTCAAGGAGAGGAACACTTGCTGGGGAGCACAAGGCACTGACTTCATGCCCAGGCACTGCCAAAAAATATATATATATGTATATCTTAATCTCTGTAGAAATGACCTAGCAATGTCTATGAAACAATAATGCAGAAGACACAAGCTCTGCATCAGCTGATACACATGCACGAGTACGCATGTAAGAACACAAAGAATGTCTAGGTTTTCTATCGTGCTTTATGTGCAGCTGTATGGAAACCTGAGGTTCAATTTCCATATTCTGTCTACTTTTTTTGTTTCCATTACATTTTATTGAAAGATCACAAAAATTTAACAATTAAGAATTTGCTGTTAATGTTATCTCATATATCCTTCCACCGTTAATCATATGAATACAAATCTTAGGAAATTTCCCATTAATTTATATTATTTTTCTAAATTCTTTGTTACTTTTTTTCGTTTGTGAAATTACTTTTATATACAGAACACAAAATATTTTTTGAACAATACAACTGGATGCTATGATTGCATGGAGTTATTGGAAAACTGTTTTTTCTTTGGTGATAATTAGATATTGAAGTGCCCTGTCACTTGAACCCCAAAACTCTAATGCTTTGCTTATAGTCTGTTTTTCAGATAATGTCTCTCAATTTTGCCCTAGGCTTGCCTTAGACTTTCATCCACCTACCTCTGCTTCTTTAGTAACTGGCACTAGCTTACTTTTTTTTTTTTCACCTTTTCCTCTGATTCTGTGCCTCCCCTCCTAACCTCCCTCTTACGTGCACATGTACATACCATATGTGGAGTCAAGAACAAAGAGTCATCTAAAAACGATGCAACAAATTAAGAAGAGGTCTAGTCTACTTATTTCACAGAGTGCCTAACTAGGAAAGCCTATTAAAAGCCTCCCTTCCTCACTCCTAGGAGGTCGCAGGCCCAGCAATATGTCTGCCAGAAGAGGCCCTGGCTCCACACCAGGCAAGTGGAGCCTTGGCAGTGGGCTTTTTCCCCACTGGCCCAGGTGACTGCGGCTCTCAGGACAGAGCAGCACTGCTCTGACCTCCGTGCGCTGGTCTCCTAACACCTCCAGCTGACTTCACATGGAAAGTTCTTACAAATTTTGGCCCACGTGCCAGGTGAAAGCAATAGGCTAGTGGAGGTGGAGAACTGATTTAGCAGTGGGTCCTCATCAGTAAGGAAAGTAAAACGCTTTTACATTTCCAAACAGTTAAACAAGATTAACGAAAGAAAGGTACTGTAATGTGACCGGAGGAAATGGTACAGAATTCAGGCTTTAGTTGATGAAACCCAGCCACACCCAGAAGTTTCCATCCCGTCTGTGGAAACCCCACAGAGGATGGAGGGTGTGGGCAGCAGCCACAGGCTACACGGTCGCCATCTGGTCCTTTCACCTAGCCCTGACAACTGTCCTAGACTGCAGCAGCTGCTGCTGCGGGAGGAACCACTCACGTCCTGCTGTCTGCCTCTGCGCCGGTGGTGGCCTTGTGTATCAGCACAACAGGAAATGGAGGAACGCATGCTTTTGGGACCCTGTCAAAGCCATCTAATTTTAAAATAAAGGCTAACTACAGTACTTACTTGCCATCTTTAAAATATGTTTTCAGGGTATCACTGAAACTTTTGGAGTACTTTACAAATTCTTTCTTTTGGTGTTCGAGTGCCTATATTTATAAAAGGAAAGAAAAAAAAAAAGCAAAATAAGAAATAATACAAAAGACAAACTCAAAGACCACAGAGTGCACAGAATCCAGAATGGACTTGAAATGGTGAGCATTTTTAGGAGTTGGCTATCCAAATATATATAACATCGTATTTATATCTGAGGACAAGCCTGATGATTAATGACACAATTTCCAATGATCAAGCTGCTGTTTTCAAGGAGTGGCAACTAGCAAAGCTTCTAGGAAACTTACCCTGCGGTTCTGGTACTGGTATTTCTTGAAGACATTATTCACTGTATCAAGTAGTTCTTTTATTGCACTAGCTATGTCCCTGTTGGGGAAGGAAAAAACAATCACTGAAACCAAGTACTCTTGAAAGTGTATGCAAGTATACATTATGTATGTGTAATTACCCTCTTTTTCTGTACTGGGGTTGGAAGGTAGGGCTTTACATGTCCTCTGCAAACAGAGTAAATGCTAGCTCAAGCTGCCACTTCCAATTTTTGCTTTTGTTATTTCTTGTTTTTGCTTAAGCCGGACTAAACTGAAATCCTCTTATTGACATTTCCTGGAATGCTAGGCTGTTAGGAGTGCACCAACAGTTCAATTTATTTGCTGAGATGGGGTATCACTACTTTCTTTTGCCCACATTGACTTCCACTGTGATGCTTTCTGCCTCCAGAGTAGCTGGCATTACAGCCATGGGTCATGAGTTCAGCTTAAAGTGTGCTGTAGGTTAAAACAAAGTATACAAATGGCCAATAGGCATAAGGAAAAATGCCCAACACCAGCCCAACTCTGGTGACCAGTATTCAAAGTTCTAGTTTATAACCATAGCTACTTGGCAGGCATAACTGAGAAGATGTTATTTAAAGACCAGCAGGCAACTCTATCTCAACCAATAGCAGGACACACCCAGCTATACAGGAAGCTAACATTGGAGGCAGAAATACGGAAGACCACAATTTCCAGGCCAGTCTTATGAGAACCCAACTCAACACAAAAGGCTGGGTTTGGTGGCATGCATCTGTTATGCAGTTATGGCAGAAAATGTAAATAAAAGAATCAAGATCCAGGCCATCAATGAGACCCTGGTGTCAAAAATAACTAGAGCAAAAGGGCTAGAGGTATGTCTCAAGTGGTGGAGCATTTTTGTAGCAAGTACAAGGACTTGAGTTCAAAACGCAGTAGAGCTAAACTTAAAAACAGCTCAATAGTAATCACTAGTTACCAGGAAATTGCAAATCAAAACCACAATAATCATCTCACCCCAGTAAGAACCATGATTATTAAAATGAGTGAAGACAACATGTGCTGGCAAGGTTCTAGAGACAAGAAACCCTCACACGTTGTAGGCGGAAATGTATGTTAGTACAGCCATTCTGGAAACCAATATGGAGATTTCTTAACAAATTAAAAATTCTCTATAGCCTGAAACTGACACCCCAAGTGGCCATTACTGATGATTATATAATATTATATAATTAACTGATATGGTATATACAACTAATGGAATATTCTTCAGTCATAAAAAACAATGAAATAGTATCATTCAATATGTTAAGTGAAATAAGAAACACAAAAGAAAATACCACATCATCTCCAGGCTTCTGTGGAATCTAAAAAAGTTCCTAACATAGAAATAGAGCTGACTGATTAGCAGCGACTGGGAACAGGGTGTGAAGTTACAGTTAGATAGACACAAACCATTCTGGGGTAATATGGCCATGTCTGTATCTACATCTGTCAATTGTGATGATAGTGACACGGTAGCTAGAGTGACTAACGATAACAAATATGACCACACATTGCAAAAAGATCAAAAGATGTTGAAAGCGTCTACCACAAAAAAATGTTTGAAGAGATCAATGTGTCTAAACAACCACTCGATGCACATGGGTAGCAGCATCACGAGGTAAGGTACCCCATCAGAATGTACTTACATGTTTTTGTGCTGGACTTAAAAAGATGAGAGTCTGTCTATGGTTTTAACAGTGGGAAAGGAAGAAACAAGCCAACAAAACCTCTCCCCAGTTGACTGTACTGACGAATACACTTAAACATCACAGTTGCCTGGCAGCAGCAGGCACAGCTGGCTCAGCTTTCATAAAGAACTCTACCCACTGCGCCTATTTGTCCGTAAGCTTTGTCTTCTTTTTGGACAACAGGCAAATGGCTGCTAATGATATATCAAATTGTTTTTTTAAAAAAAGTTCGCTAAATGTAATCTGAAATAATTGTCAGATGTTACCACATTTGAAAAGCTCTTTCTTTTATAACACCAAGATTTGCACCAGATTAAGCTAAATTACATTAATAATTATCTAAGAATCTGTTTCTTCTAAGAGCAAAAAACCAATACAAAACACACATCTGACAATTAACCAGAAAAAGAACTGGGTTAAAAAGACTATCATGTAATTAAGAGTTTGAAGCAGATGGATTCTGCAGACAGTGTGAGCAGAATAGGAAGGAATTAGGCAAGTTTTAATGAACATGCTTTGGAGAAAATTCCGTGAGCATGAAATGAAATGGTAAATGTGTTAAACGCTAAACCCATACCAAAAACTAGTATGGAGAGGTAGACTTGTAGATTAGCATCATCTATGTTTATGTAAACATAAAGGAAGGAATCCTTGCACTGCATGCTCAGTGCGGTCTAGACTAGACAGCGCTGGAAAAGCTTTTCTGCAGTCCTCATGAAACTCCTAGCTGAAAACAAACCCTCTCTGATGATTTTAGCCCAAGAACATAACAAATGTGCATTCAGTTGTTTCAGATACACTCCTAGAAGCAGAACTGAAATACCAGTGTTCTCACCAAACCTTTCTGTCTAGACCTCTGTCTAGCATGATGGATAAAACTTGTAGTACTTCACCCTCCTAGTGACTACAGAGCCCCACCCCTCAGGGTTCCCAAGTGGGGGGACAGGTATCAGGCCAACAGGATGAGGCCTCCCAACCACATTTCCACCCCAGGCTCCACCACAGCAGCCAGAGTGCTCTCTAGTCCACACAGGCATTCTACGTGCAATGCTCTTGATCACATTTCTTTCATCAAACAGTTGAAACATACCAATCATCAGGTTAGAGCAACTGATTATTGTTGCTGATACTGATTAAATAAATTCTACTTCAGTGATAAGAAGTTGAATCTCGTGTGTGTGTGTGTGTGTGTGTGTATAAATGTATTTTTTTGGGGGGAGGAGAATCATAGGGCTTGTACTCAGGGCGGTCCCTAGTTCAAGGCTAGCACTACACTTTGAGCCATGGCACCACTCACTTCCAATTTTCTAGACTTTGCTGCCAAGGCTAGTTTCCAACAGGGATCCTCAGATCTCAGTTTTCTGAGTAGCTAGGAGATTACAAGTGTGAGCCAGTGATGCCCAGCTTGGAAATACTATTTTAAATGTCAAATCTTAATATAGATAGAATCACTATCAGTTATACACATTAATTTTAACTATATCAAATTAAAAGTTAAACTCCATCAACAGGTAATGGTCTTCTCCTTTCATATAGTTAAGTAGTCTTAGCTCCACCCTCCTCCGGACAAAGATGCGTGCCAATCTCTCCTGACTCTCAATCTCTACCTATGGTTTCATCAAAACACTGCACCGACTAGGGACATTATAGTCATCCCAGCTTGCCTTATTTCCAAACCACTGAAGCTGAAGACAGAGATCAGATACTAGTGTTAACATGCGTATTTCCTATCTATGTTTGGAATTTCACCTTCATCCTTCTACCCATCCCTGTTCCCCTGGGCACTGAAGAGTGCATGACCAGTCTGAGGAACTGCTCCAGAACAATCCACATAGCAGCTCACCAGCCAGCCTCCAACCCCCACACAACGAAGTATTGGTTAAGTGTATTCTAAAAGAAGAGGTCAGAGGGGCTGGGAAGGTGGCTCAGTGGTAGAGCGCTTGCCTTGCATGCTCGAGGCCCTGGGTTTGATTCCTCAGCACCACATAAGCAAAAAGAAAAAAGCTGGAAGTGGCGCTGTGGCTCAAGTGAGCGCTAGCCCTGAGCTGAAGAACTGAGAGACAGCGCCCAGGCCCAGAGTTCAGGCCCCACGGCCGGACCCAAAAAAAAAAAAAAAAAAAGAAGAGGTTAGAGACTCCATTTTGTCATTATTAGAAAATACTATTGGTATCTATGAGCATGACTTATCTAATGGCCTATTTTGGTAATAAAGTTTTTGTATCTCTTATTGGTAACTGATGTTCTTCATTCCTTTTAATCAGTCATTCACATTTTCCATTACTTAAATTTACAAATTTCAGTTTATGCACATTTCTTTTGTTTTAAAATAAAACATTCTAAAAAGAAGTAGTATACTCTGAAACCATTAAGTTAATAAAAATGTAGCATTCAAAAATTTTTACTGCAAATCAGTAATTTAACTTGTGGAGGGCAAATGGTTCCTATGAAGCGATTTTAAAAGATCCAAAACAAAGTCAAACAAGAGCGTCACTTACTTGATTGTCTGTAGAAACCTCACTCTGTCATTGATCTCATCTGGGATCTTACTAAGAATCTGTTTAAGTGCTCGTGCCTTTTCATTTAGGTCCTGGAATTCTGGCTCTGGTCGTTCGATCATATACTCTGATAAAACAAATGCAGAATGAAAAACATGCAACTCCCCAGTAAGTTCAAGCATTTATTATTCTAATAGTTCCCAATGATGTCAAAGGAGGTGGGAGAGGGAGAAGGCCAGACCTTTAGAAAAGAAAATTCTCTCAAGTTCAACTTAATCCAGAAGTAATGTAAGAGCTCTCTCCAGGTAAAATACTACAGGATAAAAGACTAAACAGGCTCAAGTAGGAATAAGTGGCAATACATCATAAGAACTTAAAAGTGAATTCATTAACAGGGAGGTGGCATAATCAAGTCCACCATTTCCCTAAAGCTACATTTTACAGGAAAACCTTAATGGTAAGCTTTATTAACCTTTATACTAACAATTAATTCTTACCAAACCTTATTATTACTAATCCTTAATTAACAATCAAACCTTAATAAATACATGAAAAATAAAAAGGCAACAAGAAGCTATCCATAGGAAAAGTGTTTAACAGTTCAACATACCCATATTGAATATGCCATGACTTACTGTATTAAAACCCCAAATACTCCAGAAACACTTTCAGCGCCACCAAAACAAGGGTTGGGATCACAAAACATTCTAGAAGGGAAGTTCAAGCAGACCTGGTAGGGACAGTCAGCTTTCTCCAGGCTCAATACAGACCTGGAGGCCCTGTAGTGTCAGCAATTCTGTGTTACAAAAACGGATGAGAGCTTCCTTGAAGTCATGGGATGAGTTGAACCACCAATGCTTAATAAATAAGAAATTAGCCTTATACTTTTTTTTTTCTGATTAGCAGACAATGGCTATTTAGTTTCACTGAGACACATTACTAAGAATTTTTTAAAATTATTATACAGAAAGAAAAGAGGAAGAAGAGGTAAAGTAGATTATGTAGCCCAGAACAAATGTTCTTTTCCAAATTTAAAACAAGGTATAAGAACTGTTCTACAACAGTGAAACTGAAACGTGGCATGCCTTTTATTAATGGAAAAAAATTAAAGCATATGGCATCAGCAAACATTTTGCATAATTAAGTCGGACAAAAATATGAACTCGTCCTTTTTTATAGATTATTTCCACTGTCACCATCCTAAGAGTGGGGAAGGAGGAGAGGAGGCAGGAAGGGGAGGACAGAAGCCTCTGGAATGACAATGACTGAGGCAAGTGCTTTTAACAACTAAATAAGGCTCTTCTTTCTGATACCTTCTACATCATCAGCTGCCATACGAAGAAGGGACTCCGTGAAGTTTACTTCTACACTTTTTTTCTCTAAAATTTTCATAATGATGTCTTGTGTGAGACCTGGATTTTCTTTTTCAGCCTGTAAGAAAAAAAATGAGAAATTTGAAATATAGAAATGGATCAACACTTTGAAGTCAATAATTCCTTGTTGATGACTTACTGAATAGCAGAGATGGATCACTCATGAGGACAGTAATCTTTGCTAAAACAAGGTGGCAGTTAGAGATTCTGCATGATTAACTTTGCATTATGTTCCTCAATTTGTCATGTGAACATTAAAAACCTGAAGTATTTCCTACTTGTTCATACATTTTCTTATAAACAAAGCAATATATGCGTATGTATATATATACATACATGTATGTATATATGTACACATACAGATATAAACACATTCTTTTCATCTTTTTCACTAATTAAATCCACTAGTACATTTTAACACTGCAACTCAAGTATCAAGTAATAACTCACTTTGCCAGAGTTTGACAAATTTACTGCATTTAAATTAACAACAAGTCAGAGACACCCAAAGTAAAACACCAGGACTTCTTTCACAGGTTTTGTGAAGGCTATAAAACCCCTAACTACTTTCCTGTACAATGATTTTCATTTCCCATTTTATTTTTGTGACAAGAATGCTTCCTTCACTATCTTCAGATCATCACTGGTCCTTTCCCTACCTTAAAGCTTGTTACACTAATGAACTTGAACTGGTCTGTGTTATGTGGACTATTCAGGGCATTAAATCTACCTACAACAGGAAGGAAGAGTTCAGAGTGTATCAAAGTTGATTTTCAGACTTCACTTTTCCCCAGGAATTTTAAACTATTTCACATTCAAAGCCTGCTTCCTTTTCTTTTCTTCCTTAACATTACAGCAATCAAAAACATGCTTTATGATTCCTCCATCCTTGTGTGGCATGCACTTGGCCTCTACCTTTTCCACACCACTCTGTCACCAAAGCTAGAGCTTCTATTTGTTCCTGCATGTCTTTCCATTATGCTGCTTGTTTCTTTCTTTCTTTCTTTTTTTGTCGGTTGTGGGGCTTGAACTCTGGGCTTGGGCACTGTCCTTGAGCTCTTCAGCTCAAGGCGAGCCCTCTACCGCTTGAGCCACAGTGCCACTTCCAGTTTTCAAGTGGTTTATTGGAGATAAGTCTCACAGACTTTCCTGCCCAGGCTGGCTTTGAACCGCAATCCTCAGATCTCAGCTTCCTGAGTAGCTAGGATTAAAGGCATGAGCCACCGGTGCCCGACTGCTGCTTGTTTCTTATTAGCTCTTAATTTTCAAAAAAAAAAAGGTTGTAGAATGGGAAAGAAAAACATGCATTTTATCTCAGTTCTGAGTTCATTTTAACCCTTGTCAAATGGCATTCAAAGAAATCATTTTGATAGGCGATTAATAATACTGTACTCCATCTCTCATATGACTTATTTTAATTTTTCCTTCTATGGATTATGTTTTAAGTTATAATTTAGTTTTGAAAATTCATTTCAAAAGAAAACTATCCAAATTTGGCTTAATGTGATGTTTATTAATCTCATTAATGCAGTATTTGGTTTAGAGTGGTTTATATTTCCTTCTTTAAGAAGCATTATATCTACTGACATAATTATCCTGTAGGCATGGGAACTATCTCTTACATGTTTGCAGGAAATGTCAGCAGTTAGACATCTAAACGAGGTGCTGAAAGAGTCAAAATGCTTTAAGTCTAAACAAAGTTTTCAATACTAACATTGGGGACTTGTACTGCATTGTCTCACACAGGTCCCGAACGTTCTCAAATCATAGTGTCAAAAGAAATACCTAACACTAACACTGCTATTTATTAAGCAGTTAATTAGTATCCCCTTACAACTTAGAAACCTTAAAAGAATACTGCACATGTAATGAAGAAGATACATTATTATTATTATTATTATTATTATTTACTATTATTATTGCCAGTACTGGGACTTAAACTTAATAGTGGGGCTTGGGTGCTGTCCACTAACTTTTCTGCTCAAGGGTGATACTCTACCACTTGAGCCCAGATTTTGGTTAACTGGAACTAAAATTCTCACTGCCTGGGCTGGATTCAAACTGCGATCCTCAGATCTCAGCCTCCTGAGTAGCTAGAATTATAGATGTGAGCCACCAGTGCCGGGCAGAATTTTATTCCTAACATTAAGTATTTATAATGGGGATGTTTAAACCCAGGGTGCAGTGGACAATTTCTTAAATGTTGGATTCTAGTAGACTTGCCCCCTAGCTTCCTCTTGCGCACTGACTTTCTTGCTTATTATCACAACAGAGACCAACCGTCCAGCTTCAGAAAGATGTGACCTCATTCTGAGGAATGCAGACTAGTCTAGTATGTTGAAACTGCAAATACTGACTCCAGGGTAAATTCACACAGCAACAAGCAGCAGTTGAGTATGACTGTCTGCAGTGCTGAGAACTGGTAAAGTAATTCACAGTACCCCTCTGGGTTGGCTGTGGGGCTTCAGGGTGCCTGGGCACATTGTTTGGGAACAGTAGTCTTCTGGCTAAAGTCCTATTAAACTACTTACTTTAATAGTTTAAATGCATCCAATGCCACTGACTGACAAGTATGTCTGCTCTTAATCCAGAGGCTCTATTCATACCTGGATTTTCTCTCAGATTTCAAACCTGAACTTTGTGGGTACCTATAGTTTTTATAAATCTAGAATGAAAAAAACTGTATTCCAAAGGGTAAAGTCATAGACCTCCGTGGATCAGTCTTCTCAACCTGGAAGACAGGAGAAGTGCCAGAGAGAACAGAGCTACAGGTAATCATGTTGAGCTATATAAAAGATAACATTCAATAGTTTTTCCCCTTGGGGGGAGGGGTGCTATTGTAATCCTCCTTTGCTCCAAATAAAAAGTTAATAAAGTCTGATGAAAATCACTGTTGTGATCTGCTCATTGCAAACACAGATCTAAAAGATTGGCTAAATAAGGTGTTGCAGAAAAAAAAAGACCTCTCACAAAATCTCTGTGTGTTCAATAATGCATATTCCCTCCTTTAATTTCACTTGAAATTTAAGAAACCAAACATAATTAAAAAATGAATCAATGCAGTATTGTCTAATTTGTCTTCCCTCAGAGTAAGTGTCACTATTCTCAATTAGGAATCAATGTTGTGCTGGGCAAGGCGGCTCACGACTGCTATCCTGACTACTTAAGAGCCCAGAATGTCTGTGAGACACTGCCTCCGATGACAGAGCAAAACAGTGGAAATGCAGGTGTGGATTATAGCTGTGAACCACTAACACACAGATTGTGATTTGTTTTGAGTGGCTTAATTATATATGCTCAAAATAATCTTTATTGTATCATGAGTTACCTATTATGCTCAATAATTACACAATGTGAAGGGTACCCATTCAAACTGTAACTGTACAAATCAAACAATAGAAAATAAAAACATAAAAATATACTCTAAAGTGAAAAAATAAACCATCTTTTAAAAAGTCACTATCAAAACCACAGATATGAGAAGGTGTTGTAACTCACCTTTTGAAGGATTTACCACTTTACAGAACATACAACAGGTCTAAAATGCCATAGTTTTCCCTAAAAGAACATTACCTGGCCTGGCCACGATTACACAGTATGCAGATTTACATACGACACACATCTTAAGCATAATAAAGTATTTGTACCTCACCTTAATGAATGCGGCTCTCAGTGTCTGAGCTGCTGACAGATTTACTCGCTCTAGCTGCAATGAAAATGTAAAATCATTAATGACATCAGTTTTCTCATGTTAAATTAAAAAGCACATTTCTGATACCTCATTCTGTGATATCTATACTGATACTCCCATCATTTATTAAGTAAAAATACTTGCTATTTAAGGCAGATGAGCATAATTCTTTACATACACTATCTAAAATTTTCAATGGAAATCTCAGCAAATATAGTTTGTTTCTTTATGACTTTTTTTGCCACCTGGGCCTGGGTACTTCCCCTGAGCCTCTTTGTGCTCACGGCTAGTGCGCTACCATTTGAGTGACAGAGCCGGCTGCAGTTTTTGAGTAGTTTATTGGGGATAAAAGTCTCACAGGGATTTTTCTACTTGGGCTTGCATCAAACCTCCACTCACAGATCTCAGCCTCCTGAATAGCTAGGATTACAAGTATGAGCCACTGGTGCCTGCTCTTAATAACTTTTTAAAAAATAAAATGCACTCTATTTAAAAACTAAATTTGTGAAACAAATAGAATACAAATCAGACAGTACCATGACAAAAAATAAACTTAAAAACTTGAAACTTTAGGGTAAACTCTGGGTGCCTCAAGGCAAATGCATAGCAAGTATTTATATGTCTGACGGATATAAAATGACCAATACAAGGAAACTTGTTCAGAGTCTTTCCCATCTTATTGTAATTTTTTCAGCCCCCCTGGTCTGGAATTAAACTGAGAAAGATCTACTTCATCCTTTAGTACACTGCAGGTCTGAGGTTCACTATTCAAACTGAATAGTGGACCATCAGGATTTCAGACATATTCTATGTCTTCTATTACAACAACATTAAAAAAATGACCACCTAAAATAACAAAGCGAAGCTCAATACAAATGCTTTTCTATAACACATTTTTATATCAAATGTGAGGTTTATAATTTCAAAAGATATACATTCATATGTGTTTCATATAGTTCAGTTTTCGGCGAGCCTTCCAGGACACATGTTTCACTTGTTGAAGAGTTAACTGCCAAGCTTGAAGTAGCCAGCTTCAATGAAATTTGTATTTCTTTACTCCTTAGAGACTAAACCAGCTAACTCAATAAAACTCAACTCAATGTATATGTAGGACAGTATTGGATGTTAGGAAGCAACACAACCATAACAGATTTTCACGCAAGTATTTCTAAAACAAATTTTGTTCCACTTTATAAATAACCTATTTCTACACACACACCTAGAGGATCTCCAATACTTCAATTTTATAAGCAAGATAGAAATGGCAATCTTCTCCAAAACAGTGAACCATTTAGCTTAGCTTAATCAGGCTTTCCAAAGCCGTGCAATGTTATATTATCTTAGTAGGTGACAGAGAAGCAGATATGGGAATTAACTTGAAGCGGTTTTTGAAAAATAAACAAAGGTATGTTTCCAACAATGAAATACTTCCACATTACTCCTATAATTGTAAGTTAATACTTGTTAAACTTGAAAGAACAATTCAGCTCACTGATGAAGAGTTGTGCAGGGGAGGTTAGAACAGACAAACAGACGGAAAGAATGTTTCCATCCTGATAGGAGCCCATTTCCTTTTTTGGGTTTATATATCATCATCTTTTAACAAGGCCTTGACCAGGTTTGAGTCAGATATGTGCCTCAAATATCAGCATTAAACTATTCTGCACCAACCCCACTGGCAAGCAAAAGAAATCCAGAACAGCTAGTCACTTCCAGATTTCTAGAATCCCAGATGAAGTTTTACTAAGAGGTGTACTCATAGGTAGTAGACATCCTTTACTAAATTGCAATGTCGGTGAGCTGTCAAATACCTCAGCAGAGCGTGGTGGGGAGTCATGTGGGGTACACAGAGACCCTGCATCCTGCAATAAATCAGGAGGCATTCATACTGCTTGACTATCAGTAAATTTATCTAAATTTTTGTAAAATCTGTAACCTCACTACTATCAACCCAGTAAGAAGTGCTTCTGTTTGGCCTTTTACTTGTGATATAATTTGACAAAGCTATGATCATCTTACCAGTTCTGCTGACAGTAGTAGTTCTAGTAACATTCTATATTCCATTAACAGCTCCTATTTACTGAACACTTATTATGGGCTTATAAATAAGTACCTATTTACGAGCAGAATAAATCTACTGCTAATAATAAATCTGAAACTAGCTAACATCATGCTCATTTACAGAGGAAGAAATTCAGTCTGTGTAAAGGTAATCATTATTAATTATCTAGTAAGTATAGAACCAGAATTTATACAGATCTGCCTGACTTGTAAACCTGTGAAGAAATTAAAAAAAAAAAAAACTACCCAGATTCTCTGCACTCACTCTTTCCAGACTGAAGTTTAACCATCATCAGATCTCTCAACTGTTGGTTCTTGAGTTTCCTCCATGTACAAGAAGTCAATGTGAGGGGACAGGACAGAATGTGGGATGGAGAGACTGCCGACCCACACCTCCACAGCTACGTGAGAGTGATGGGATTGCCAGCAGCTAAAACTGGAGAGGACATTGAGGATTCCTGGCCTAGCATCTTAAAATCCTCTTTCTTGGAAGTTACGCCACTCAGGGCTTTCTTCAGGTAACACATGACATGATGACTTCATGTAAATTTAAGACAGACTAAAAAAAACTAACCCTGCACTCTGTAAGCTATGTCTTTGATTAGAGTGTCTTTAAAGTGCCCTGGCCTATTTAAAGACTGAAAACAACTGAGTAGAGTTCATAGCACACTCATCACATCTGAGGTCTAATGAAAAAGACATCAATGGGACCAGAGCAAGAAAAAGCACCGCATAGGCCTCAGCTGTACCTGACTCCTGCACCACTAGTGAAGGGTAGAATTTCAAGACAAACCAGAATGAGAGAAGAAGGGTACACAGGTTCTGACTTCAACTGTAAGAAGGCCACATGCCCACTGGAATCACCTGGATGCAATGGCTAAGCAAGGAGTACAACATTGGGCATCAACAAAAACCTACCTTCTCTCTACATCAAGTTTTATGAACTTCTGTAACTTACTCTGGGCAGCTTCTGTGAGAACTTACGAACACGGCTGCACCTGTCCAAGTTAAACTCTTTGGTTCACTTTATAAAACTATTTTAAAAGCTGACATGTAATTTCTACTCCACAAAGAACTCATTTATTACAGTCTTCCCTCTAGAAGGATCTTATTTATACTCCCATATTCTTTTAGCATGGAGTTAGGTTTCAAAACTCATCATTCAAAAAAATCCAATTAGCCCTTCCTTTGGTTGCTCAAGTTTTCAAGAGACTTGCATAGTCTTGCGAAGGCTGTTTTTTAAAAGGTCAAAATAATTAGGTTAATTGGTTCCAAATTGTCTACCAATCTACTTGGTTCCTTAAAATCAAGCAAGATTAGCTTTTCCTATGAGGCACTCCTTTTGGCTATGCCTCCTCCCCTCAAATTATTGATCCTATTTTTTTGTAAGAAATTAAAATGGGTCAAGTTACAAGAATAGAAACTACAGGTAAATCTCTTGCCATTTAAGTGAGAATAAGGTGAGTCTGTTTCATCAAACAACAGGCACATACTGCCAAGGGACAGGAGCTGATGCCTATAATCCCAACTACTAAGGAGGCTGAGAGCTGAAAAGCCAGGCTCAAAGCCACACCAGGCAGACAATCCTGAGAGACTCTCATTTCTGATTAACTCACAAAATAGCTGGGGGTAGAGGTGTGGATCAAGTGGTAGAGCACCAGCCATGATGAGAGGGAGGCCTTGGGCTTAAGCCAAGTATAGAACAAAAGAAAAACCACAACAAAAGTAAACAACAAAAAACTAAACAAACCAGAAGAATACAAAGAGATGGAAGAAGTCATCTATTCGCTTTTGAGCTACCACTGTGAATTTAAGCACAACAGCATTGTTTGGTTCAAGAAAGTTCTATAAACACTCCTTTAAAAAAGTAAGTTTCTAAGTTGTTAATATAAATGACAAAAAAAAAAAAAAGGTAAGACAGGCCATATAACAGACAATCAGAACAAAAATATTCTACTAAAACACTGCCAGACAGAATACAAAACAAAATGGAGGCAAGACTCAGGTAATCAAGAGTTTAGTTAAACACACACACAGACACACACACACAACCTAAGCAAGAGAGTGAGGCCCTGAGTTCATGATTATCAGTACTAATGAATACAAATGAATACAAAACTAATGTATGATGCTAGTTTTGTCAAAAAATCATATATGAAAGATTCCTTACTAATAATGTTGGATGCTAGGTACTATTCTAAACACCTTACAGTTCCTTATTTCATTTATTTTACAGACATTCTGAAAATTAAGTGTATTATTTAATCCTGACTTTAAAATAAACAAATTGAGATAACATTATAATCATGTAATCTCCCTAAGTTTTTAGCAGCTTATTAATTCAAACCAAAAATACTAACATTGCCTCTGTACGGTAACCCTGCAGGTAAAATCCTTATCTAATTGTGATGAAGTAATGCTCACTATGCTCAAAATTTGAGGTCTGGGTAATGTTTCCTCCAATGGAAGAAAATCAAATTGAAGCAGGTAAATTAGAGAAATATTCCCAAATGACTAGGCCAGCCGATAGCCAAAAATTGGCAGAAATAGCTGACTCAGATACTTCTGAATGGAATATTATTTATTCAGAAGACCATTCTTGTGATTTAGTAAGAAACAAATCTCTGATGATCTAATATTTATATTTAGGTGCAAAATTGTTGATTTCATATGCCATATACTATGTCAGGAATTATTTCTTAAGACAATTTCTCTGCACATACACACTCCTTTTTCCTCAAGTAAAACAATAAATTACCTCTTTTTTCCATATACAAAGAATCAAAAGAATAAATAGGTGAAAGCCTGGTATGAGGTTTCTAAGCATTGATTATTCCATTAAGCAATGAGGAAGCCTGTTTCACAGAACATTTATAATATATGCAATATACTTACACTCTGAACTCTGCTGCAGCTGGTTAAACAAGAATATTCCTCAGCTGTCTAGACATAACTTTAATAAGTTTACTAAGCTTCAAGCTCCCAGAAGGCCATAAATAACTTTGCATTGGAAGCAAGAGTAACAATACTAAAATTTCTCCAGCTATACGGATGTCCCAGTAGATAACAACCTTTTTAAAAATTATATTCTATCCATCATTGCAGCTACTATAGATGAAATGTTAAAGTGGAAATAAGTAACTCTTATGATGCACGTTAAATACAACTTAGTGAATCAATTTGCTTCACAGTATAATACTCAACCCTACTGTGCTATTATCTTCTTCTGATTGGTTAGTATGAAGCCATTTTACCTTTAAATCCACACAGAACAGAAAAACAGAACCAAGAACCAGGATAAACTAGATTTCCCCATCAACAGACTTAGAAAAATTGATGCCAGAACTATATTTAAATATTAATGTTTGATTTGTTACATTTCTTATTTACCTGTTACATTCATGTAGTAGAATACCACACAATAATGCTAACATTGAATAAAATACTTCAGCAAACACTTCCCATTGGAGGACACACTAATTTTTTGTTCTGTTCCTAAATCAAGCCTTAAATTTCAACTGTCAAGAGGAAGTTAACAGAATCCTTAAAACCTTGTAGTTTTGAATGTGGTTTATTTTTTCAGTGGTACGGGGAAGAACCTAGGGCCTCCGGCATCTTAGATAAACAATTCTACTACTAAGCCTACCGCCCCCTGCCCCCAACCTTTAAATGTCTGACTACATGACAGAAGCAATTTGTTTTTTCTTTTTGGAGTTTACTTATATCCTTATGCTTATGAGGCAAGTGCTCTACCACTTGATCTAGGCCTCCAGAGTCCCCCCTCCCCCTTTTTTTTTGCTGGTCCTGGGGCTTGAACTCAGAGCCTGGGCACTCCCTGAGCCACAGTGCTGCTTCAGGTTTTTTCGGAATAGTTTATTGGAGATAAGAGTCTCAGGGACTTTCCTGCCCCAGCTGACTTCGAACTACCAACAGTGTCCAGCACAGTGTTGTTGTTTTTTTTTTGTTGTTGGTCATGGGGCCTGAACTCTGGGCCTGGGTGCTGTCCCTCAGCTCTTCAGCTCAAGGAAAGCACTCTACTGCTGGAGGCACAGTGCCATATCCGGTTTTCTAGTGGTTTATTGGAGATAATAGTCTCACGGACTTTCCTGTCCGGGCTGGTTTTGAACCCTGATCCTCATATCTCAGCCTCCTGAGTAGCTAGGATTACAGGCGTGAGCCACCAGCGCTGGCAGTGGCTATTTTTGGAGGTAGGATCTTGCTCTATGCCCAGGCTATGGTCCTACTTGTCTTTCTCTATGTACTATACCCAGCCATTGGTTAAAATAAGTTCTTTCAATTTTTATGCTAGGGCTTGTATCAATCCATGATCCCCTTGATTTCTAGTAGCTAGACTCTAGGTTTGAGCCGCTGTGCTCAGCAGAAATGATTTCATTTGATTAAGTTTCATATTACAATGTTCAATCAGCAAATTCAAATTGAGAATTAGATCATGACAATTTGCTGTAGGATCTTTCAACCTGTTACATTCAGCAATTTGCAAATTTTACTGCTAACAATTCATTCTTTGGACCCTGTATGAATCACAAAACAATGTATTCTAGCCACATATTTTCAGATCTTATCTGGAGAAAATCACTACCTTTATTTATTGGGCCCTGTTAGCATGCCCTCCGTCTCAGTCCTCAGCACCTCCCACAAAACCAGTTGATCTGGACAGATCTGGCTGTAGCTGGCCGTTGGCCCTGGCCATTCCTCCCACTTCACTTCCCAGAGCCGTGTTTTACCCCTGGCCCCCAGCTGCATCCTCAGGGGAATGCTGACTAACTATACGTGTTACAATCAGAAAACCCCACCCTGGCCATATGCTATGTGCCATCTTTAGCAAGGACTTCATCTACTTCCCATCCCTAGCCCCTGACTATAAATTTGACCCTGAAGAAGGGACAGATGTCATTTCTCCCTCTCCTGAGGTAGCCTTGTCAGGCCTGCTGACAATAAAACACATGCGACTGCGTCTGTGTGGTCTTCTTGGACGGTGGCTTTCAGGCCACACATGCTTTCTTTCTCAAGTTATTTGTTTATTTAGAGTCTTTTCTTTTTTGGTAATACTGGGATTTACATTCAGGACCTCATCCTTTGTCACTTATGTATAACAGTTTCCCACAGTTGTTGTTCATCGAGGGTCTCCCTTTTTTCTGCTAAGGTAAGCTGAACCATGATCCTCCTACTTACATCTCCTGTGTGGCTGGGACGGCAGGTGACACCACCACAGCCAGCCAGCCACCTCCTTGCCTTTCAAGTTAATTTCTTTCATAGGCTCAGACAAAATCTATAGTATTAGTTCAAGCAGTTCATTTTACCAGAAACCCCACTCCTTTGCAGAGTCAAGGTTCAAACATGTATTTTTCATAAGTAGGAAGAAGATCATTCAAACTGCTAAACAAAAGTTCAAAGTAGCTAGATTTGGTTTAGTTCTAGGCAATCTGAGAATAGTGGTTTCACAAGTTAGGGACTTCACTCACCACCAGAAAGGTGATTAGCCAATCTCTGAGACACTTCAAAACTAGAACTCTCTATCTACAAGAGCCTATTAATATTAACAACATACTTAACATTAAATATGAGGTAATTCCTCAAATTAAAAAAACAGCAACCATACCCTCTATAGACACAATAAATGCCATCTTTTAAATATCAACTTTAGAAAAGTGCTTTGCCACCACTTACAATAGCTCACTGCAATCTCTGTGCCTGGTGCTCTAGCTACCCTGACGGAGCACTGCCTCTCCAACTGCAGCTCTTATTTATCTCTTGATCCTTGTACAGACATCTGGTTTGGTCCTGACCCCCACCTGCCATTTTCTTTCTCAATGAATGTTTTTGACTTGATAGCATTGGACAATTGTTATTGGAACTGTATTTAATCTATCTCTCCCACTGAAGGTAAACCTTCAGATGAGGGGTGGAATATCTATTTGGCCATGTTTTCATTATTGTAAGTGCTGACACAATGCCTAACACAGACAAGAGTACATTTCATACAAGAATGCATGACAAGAACACAAACGAAAAAAATGAAGCAGATGGTAAGCTGGTAAGAAAATATTACACACTTGCCTCATTAAACACAGGATACATGACTGCATAGAGGGGCATAGAAACCATGGAAGTGGTCTCAGCTTCATTCTTCATCTCTTCCATTGTCATCCTCATTCAAAAGCCAACTACAGTAGAAAAAGCAGTGCTAAAATGCAAAAGAATCTTCATTCACTGCAGTATTTCTTCTCTTTTTTTGTGTTAAAGAATGGGGCACAAAACAGACGCGGACCTGGTGGATAGAAAAGAGAAATTCACCTTAAAAGAAGCCAAAAACCAAGGATACAGGTGGACCCGTTGCAACAATGAGAAGTACAAGTTGTCATGTCGAAAATGAATTTTACAACTTTGGTGGAGGGGGAGAGGGGGAGGATGGGGGGGGTGGGGGGAGGCTGGGAAGGGGAAACAAAGGAGGAGGCTACAATACTTGATAAGAAATGTACTCATTATCTTGCCCATGTAACTGTAACCCCTCTGTACAGTATTTTCACAATAAAAAGTAAATAAAAATTAAAAAAAAAAGAAACCAAAAACCATCAGTCACGTTCCTTCCCAAAATACAGAGCTCCTACCTTATGAAAAGCTAAATTGGTAAGCCACCGTTTGCTTTTCAGCTTAGTAATTTGCCATTTCACACTGCTGTCCTCATTATGCAGGCACTATTTCATGAAACAGTGGCTCAAAGCCCACTCTACCTAAATGTACTAAGGCCTCACAAAATAGCATGCAAATCCAACTGCATTACAACTGTAAAAAGTATCAACTAGATGTGTACTTAACAGTATTTACATGTAATATTGTATGAGCACATGTTAAAATGAACAGTTAGGGTATTTAATATATATAACTTTATTTATAATATTTATAACTTTATAACTTGAAAATAACAACAAAAATACAGCAAGCACTGAAGATCAGGGACAAATCTTAAAAAAAAATTAACCCTACTTCAGAAAATACAATTTTGTCAAGGGTACTTTTTTGATATTTAGAAGAATTCTGGGAATCTGTCTAAATCTGAAAAGAGAAAAACTGTGGTAGTTTAGAACTAAAATTAAAAATTCAACAGTATATGCCGGAACTCTGGGAAGAGAGGTAGAGAAGATCACAAATTCTAAGGCTAGCCTGGGCTAAATTGAAGAAACCTGCCACAAAAACAAACAAAAAGAACAAAAGAAAGAACGGACTAAGAAAGAAAAAAGGGGAAGGAAGAGATTGAGAGAGGAGAGCAGAAAAAGAGGAATCCAGTAATACAAGAAATTTTACTTTGAGAGGCTGGGAAATTTTTTTTGGGGGGGGGAGGGAAAGGTCTTTAGGCTTGAACTGGGGGACTGAGCTGTTTGTGCTCAAGGCTAGCACTCTACCACTTTGAGCCAAAGCTCCACCTCCAGTTTTTGAGTAGTTAATTAGAGATAAGAGTCTCTTGGAGGGGCTGGGAAGGTGGCTCAGTGGTAGAGCACTTGCCTTGCATGCTCGAGGCCCTGGGTTCCATTCCTCAGCACCACATAAGAAAAAAGCCGGAAGTGGCGCTGTGGCTCAAGTGGTAGAGTGCTAGCCTTGGGCTGAAGAGCTGAGGGACAGCATCCAGGCCCAGAGTTCAGGCCCCATGACCGGACCCAAAAAAAAAAAAAAAAAGAGTCTCTGGGAGACTTTTCTGCTGGGGCTTGCTTCAAACCATGACCTTCAGATCTCAGCCTCTGGAATAGCTAGGATTACAGGCATCAGCCATTGGCAGCCAGCAGGAAATTGTTTTTGAGAGAAAAATAACTTGCTCCAGATCATACATGCAGAGAGGCCCAGGGCTTGCTAGATCTAGATCTGATATTCCTACATCACAAAACCATGGTTGGAGCGAAAACAGAGAAATAGAGAGCACCTTGTCTACCTTCATGTACTCAGTCACTGAGAAATGTATGTTTAGTAGCAATTAAATACTAGATGCAAGATACTGTTCTTGGTCATTAAAAATTTAATTATGCCAGATTTTTCAAAGACCTAAACTCTGGAAGACACAAGGTTTTGGCATGCTACCTCAAAAGTTTCGGTCACCACTGTCTAATTAAGACCGGGGTACGAATTGGACTATATCCTAGCAGTGAAGGGGGCACTCAGCAGCTACTCAAGTCCTGTTTCTGATATCTCTAAATAAGGAAAAGCGTTCCTATTTTAAGCCAAAATGTGATCCCTGTCTGAGAGCACCAAAAATGAAAAGAAAAAAAAAAAAAGCTGTATTTTATAGGGCAAGGGAAAACTACTTCTTGATCCTTTGGCTGACTTAAGTAGCTTGCATGAAGAGAAGAATGGAGGGACAAAAGCTAAAGGCTTTTGAGAAACATAAATGATTTTTTTTTTTTTAAGTAGAAAACTTAGAGGACCTAGCACATCCATGTAAGAGATGAGCACAACCAGGACAGTGAGCAAGTAGGATGAAATTACTTAATATACCACTTGACGATCTGTTTTTCCACTTAAATCACTTATATTTAGCAAGTATTTCATTGATTATTATAGGTATGATTCTATGTAGAGACCACAGAGAAAAACAGTGTATTCTGTCTTTGACCCATCAAAGACAATACCATGAAACACAAGGAAAATGGGAGAAAATGAGGGAGAGGGATAACACTGTTAAAAAAGAAATGTACTCATTACCTTACTTGTATAACTGTAACCCCTTAGTACATCACTTTTACAGTAAAGTTTAAAAATAAAAACAAAAACAAAACAAACTTAGGCTATATACTGCTGTGGAGGAAGTAGATGAGAGAACCAGCATTATGAAAATAAGGAGTTTCAAAAAAGGGTGGCCAAACACTTTCAGGCAGGGCCAGGTAGTACACATCTGTATTCCCAACCACTCAGGGACAAAAATCAGGATGATCAGAATCAGAGGCTAGTCCATATAAGAAGTGAGCAAGACCCAATCTCGACCAACAAGGTGGGTGTGGTCATACACATCTGAGATTCCAAGTATCTTAGTTGAGGCTGGCTGGATGCAGGACCACACAGGATAAACAACATGGGAAGGGCTGGGGCACTGGATTAAGTAATTGAGTGCCTGCTCTAAAATCCAAAGATTCAAACCCCAGTACCTCCTCCTGGGAAGGAAGGTAGCCAAGTTTTAAAGGCTATAACTTTAAAACCACTTATTCCTTGATGAGGTTAAGAGGTAACCTGCAAAGAATAGTAGACCTGATTAAGTACAGGGAGGAGGCTTTAGTTAGACAGCGAGTTGGGGAGAGAAAAGATTTTAAAGCCTCCAGTAAACAGGAGGTGGAATCTAACAAGATAGGCGCATGCACACCACCACAGTTGTGGATAAAGGGTGGTAGAGGTCAAGGGTGAGGTCCTGAAGTTACTATCAGAGTTCCTGCTAGTTATCTGAATCTAAGTACAACGTGCTGCTCAAAGGCTTAATTTAAGGCGAGAGCTAGAGCAGTGACTGGCCTAACAACCGCAGTGTAGATATTATGGAAAATGCTCTACAACTCCAATTTGCAATCGAACTGTGTAGAATGACATTGGACAATTCAGACCACACAGTTTCAACAACATTTACATAATATTTCCAACCAATATAACAACAAAGGCTTTTAAAAGATTCAATTATTCTGCCAATATTAATTCAAGTTAAATATGCCCCTGTCATTGCTTCCACAAGCTTTGTCATCTGAAATGGTTCGGTGGACAGGCTGCAATGGCTTCCTTCAGTGGGAAAAGCAAGCATCTCCACAGTGAGCAGGTCTTAGACTCCACCCAGGGATGGAGCAGCAACTCCTAGTCATTTTCACTGTGGCTGGGACCCAGGAGCAGAGCAACACTCTTAACATCTACATCCTGGTTTCTGGAGTGACAGCTAATCAGGCTTGCCCTGACAACTGATCATAGATTCAAAATTTCAAATCTGTAATTGATGAACATGATCCTAGCACAGTACAAACCAAAGCTCCCTCCCCAAGTGTGAATTAAGCTTTCCCACCGCTACAAAACACCTGACACAAACAACCTTCAGGAGAAAAGCCATTACTTTGCTCAGTTGCAGGAGTTTCAGTCCATCAAGACATGGAGGGTGTAGAGTAGGTTACCAGCCTCATGGTGAGAAACTAAGAAGAATGCCCATGCTCGCTGGCTGTTTCCTTTTCCCCTCTTACTGCACAGAACCTACAGAATGGTACCACCCACATTCAGTGGGTATTCCCCCTTAATTACTCTTCTCTAAAAAAAAATCTTACTACATTTCCTAGCCCTTTCCCATCCAATTGGGCTGACAGTCAAGACCATCCCATTTAGTATAGTGATTTACCCATGCTCACAATTTCTAGCTAATAAAAAATAAGTGAAACTACTTAGCAACTATATTAAGTGTGTTGCTTAGGTTAGAGGAAATTTTTTTCAGTTCAAAGTAAGTTTAGTGTAACAACAGCTTAGCAACTACAGAATTAAGAAAAAAGAACTGGACTATAAATAAGAACTTAGACAAAAAGCATATGTTTCAGAGGTGTTTTTATGCTTTAGCTAGGTATTTTTTGTGATTTCAAGTCAGGACCTCCACTCTACTACTACCACTTACACACTAAAAGGCACACATTCAACCATTTTCGTGAAAAATGTTCTGTATGATATGGGAACACCAATATGAATTGTTATACTTTTACTCTTTATTTCCTTGGATATTCAAAACTGCAATGCTAATTTCTAAGATGAATCAACTGCAAATACTTTCCTGGGCTAATACAATTAATTATCACTTGTTTCTGATGAGGAAAGTAAAACACAGATGCCTGGCTACTCCCCTGCCAATTCTTAGTCCTTAGCATTTTTGCTTTGTCCAGCCATCACGAGTCTGCTCAAATAAAGAGCTATCCCTGGTGTATCTCAGGGTTCAGAAGCAGCATTTCCTGAAGCAGACCACTCTACTCCAACTGTGGCATGAGATAACTCTAGAGCCAAAGTTAACTTACTACCAATAAGAGAAGCAGATAAACAGAAGTCTGTGGCACTAGTATAGACAGTTCTGTGGTAGAAAAATGTTCTCTCTGAAAATTCTGTACTTCTGACTACTCAGTTTACAGTTTGGTCATCCTTGCACTGAGCAGGATTCTGTGTGTTTATGTTTCTATTCAGGTGTATTTATTTTCCCACAGAGACAGGAGACAGCACAGTAGGATATGACAGGCATTGGTTAATAAACAAATGAATGACACAGTTTCATCAGTCTTACTAATGGTTTTC